TGAACTTGAACTATTTGCTGGAGACGAAAGTGATTCAGCAAGCCCTTAATATCCAAGCGGTTGAAATCCCCTGTGACGACCAATCCACAGTTGGGATATCGCGTCTCCGCTAGGACGAGGGACTGGAACAAATGCTCCCGGATAGATGTCCCATCGGCCTTGGGGGGGTGATAGATCACTGCCGCGATTATGCAGGAAAACCCCCGGGGGAGGCGGTTTGGTCTTAGATGGAGCCACAATGTCTCATGATTATCACAGCACTTTAAATCGTTCAGTTGTTTATATTTGCACCGTTTTTCTTGAATATAGACACACACACCACCGTGTTCTAGTGTCTTCCTGTCCTCACGCACAATAGCAAACCCGGGGATGTCAACAACGGTGTCCAACACAGAGTCCTTTAGCCAGGTTTCCGTAACGAACGCAAGGTTGATATGATTACGAGTGATAAACTCGCTAACTTCATCCATTTTGGGGGCTAAAGACATGACATTCGCTAACATGATCTTAGGAACTTTGGGTGACCATTCAGTACTGGCTGCTCTGTTTTCCTTGGTGCAATCTATAACAATGCAGTTGTTTAGATTGCTACGTGGAAAGGTGTCATTTTGAATATTTAATATGTTCGCCAGTTGGTTATGTAAATGAGGTTTCCTGTGAAGGATTAAGTTCTTGGCAAAGAAACACCCATTAAAGTTCGGAAATTGCTGAATCTTGCGTGCTCCATTCCCCATGCAAATCCCAATCTGCCTTTGTTTGCGCTGTCCTGCTCTTGTCCCTCGACGTGTAGGTCTTTGCCGTGTTATTATGAAGTTTCTTAACTGTTTATTTTGTTTTGGCTGTTTTAGGCCATGTTGAGTTAGAAGAAGACTGTACAAGTAGATTTGGATAGATAGGATAGATAGTTTAATCTCAAATGCATTTGCAGCCCGAGGGCTGAATTACACATTTTTACAATCCAAGAAATTTAAAATTTAAAATTCAAAAACCTAATTACACGTCTTATTATACCAGCAATTTACAATATAATAACATGATAGTAAATTAAATAAAATACATTAGCTATAAATGTAAACTAATTAAAATAAATTTAAATTAATTAAAAGTATCTACATTATCATTATCATTATTATTACTATAGTTATCACGCGTGCCGTAACAAAAATTGCAAACATAAGAAATTAAAACTTGCCAGAGAAAGTCCAGGCTGAAACTGTTGCTGGTATGGAAAATTCTTAGAACTGGTTAATCTCCAAATACATAGCATTTGTAAAATACTCTGTGTTCAAAGATTCTAAGATAATTTAAACAATCCCATTATTTATTAATAAACTCCATCTTTTTTTTCTTAAGAGTGAGAATCTGACTTGTAAATGCCAAGATAAAATTAGGACAAAAATAATTTTAATTTTGATGAGGAAAATAATTCTTAGACATATGGCAGGTGATTGCGGCTTTTTATTTTTATTTTTTATGCGTTAGAAGATTCAAGAATATTTACAGACATTGAAAATGACTGTGTTCAATTCCGTTTTCTCTTTTTTATGCATTCAAATTCATCATTGCTAAAAAAAAAAAAAGAAAAGCTTTCATCATGTTTTAAATTCCATTCCCTTTCACGTGAATTTAAATCAGCTTTCATTTCCTTCTACGAAGATAATACCCACAAACTATTATTCATTTCAAATACACCTGCTTCAAGGAGATAAAAATATCGAGTGTCAGTTTGGGGACAGAAATATCGCATATTTTACAAGAAGTTTGATACGTAACAGAGTTTTTAACAGTAAGCGGTTTTGTTTGATACCATCGACATGGAGAAGAATAAGGAAATTACTTTTGTTGTTTATTGGAGGTGCGTTTCGTTGCCTTAGCTGCGATCTGAGGAAGTAACCTTCCCCCTGGACGGATCTTAACGCTAATTTTGTGCGAAAGGAGGATGTTTCGTTGGCATGTTTTGAAAGCCAAATGATACAGGTTAGTTTTTGTTACAAAATTCGTTCAAGGTTTCGCGCCTCAATTCCGCGAAAAAATTCGCTTAGGTCGTCAATCTTAAAGTAAAATTCCGGGTTGAAATTGTTGCAAATTTAGCAAAAAGCGATTGGAGATGCGTTTAATGTTATTGCAAAGACTACAATTTACCCAAAGATTATTATAAAGAATTATTCAAAGTATCTGTATTTTACACCAAAGCGCACAGTCTTTTCATTTGTGAATTGTATCCATAGAAAAAATTATTCAAAATGATTGTTTCTATAGCTACTATACTGTTGAAGGGGGCATTCTGGTCAAAAAAAATTAAAAATCTTTATTTTTTTCGAAAATGTTTTGATGGCCTCTTTAGTTGGGCAAATCTGTCTAGTTTAAAGTTTTAATGTCAGTTTTTCCACTTCCAGTTTGCGAGTCAGTAAAAAATGAGGTTTTCTTAGCCTTGTTTTTTTGTTGTTTCTCGGTTTCCATGGCAACGGTTTCAAATTTTGCGTTATTTTTGCGATCGATGCGTTATAACTTGTTAAAACACGTTCCTACGGTCTGGTGTGACCAGAGTCCGTTCCACAGGTACAATCTTTTCGGTTCTAAGCTAGGTTACTAAGCCAATTCGGTTCTCGGCCAAAACTCCGCATTGCTCCATAATATTTTCGCATTGCTCCATAATATTTTCGAATTACAATGCCAAAAGAAGGACGCAAACAAGCTGTTTTAAGGAAGAATGTTTCGAAAAAGCGAAAAATGGGTTTCAGAGGTTTCATGATTTAAAGCGCCGGAATACAGAGAAACGGCGAACAGTAGGAGTTACTTTCGTCGATGAAGACGATGTGGTCAGCGAGCTAATTCCACCACCAGCTGTGCCTGCATCTTCCAGAAAGATTCAAGTCTCAAAAACCGAAAGCCTCTCAGATGAGAATTCCTATAACGCTTTCGAGTCAGCAAATGGTTATCGCCTTGTTAGCATGGATAGTTTAAGGAAATTTTGTAACAGGATTCATTCACACTCTACATGCTCTTCAGGTGAGTTTAGAGCTTTATCACATACACGTGTAATCTGTATGTAACGTATCTATCTTTCTAGCTACAATCTGCTTAACTTAATAGCTATTTTATGAAGTTTCTTAACTGTTTATTTTGTTTTGGCTGTTTTAGGCCATGTTGAGTTAGAAGAAGACTGTACAAGTAGATTTGGCTTGAGCAGTTCCATCTATGCCAGGTGTGATGAATGTGGAATGTCAGAACTACTTGCTACTGGATACCACAAATCTGATGCCACATTACCGAATACTATCCAAGGAAAAGATTTAAATCAGAGAGTTGTTTATGGTACCTTTGAAATGGGTTTAGGAAGGGAAGGAATAGCCAAACTCTGCGAAGTGTTAGATATGCCTTTCAGTATTTCAATTGATACATGGTATAGACATGAGGATGCTCTCTTAGAAGCCCACACTGATATCATCCGAGAAGAACTGGCCAAGAACAGAGCTGAAGCTAGAAAACTTGCATTTCTAGAGATGGGTGAGGAAGATAACAATGAGAATGCAATAGCTGAAGTGCCAGTGAGTTTTGATGGCACCTGGTCCAGGCGAGGCTATTCTGCCAATCACCGTGTAAGCTTCGTAATATCAGCAGCATCTGGAAAAGTTCTTGACTTTGAGGTCATTTCTAAAGTCTGCAGTCAGTGTAACCAGAAAAAATCCAATTGTACACAAGAGGCATTTGAGGATTGGTTGCAAACTCATGACTGTCAAGGCAGCTATGGTGGTTCCAGTCCAAGTATGGAAATGGAATGCACCAAGCGATTATGGGGTAGGAGTGAACAATATGGCTTAATGTACAAGTGGATGATATCTGATGGAGACTCAAAGTCTTATTCATCAATATGGAACATATATGGAGCATGTGACACTTGCAATTGCTTTGAGAAAATGGAACCAACATCTAAGGAGTACATTTCATGGACAGCTTCAAGTGATTACAAAGAATGGGAAGAGGGACATCTTCAAGGAACTGCTGATTGCAATCGAGTTATTAAACTTGATTGCATAGGCCATGTGCAGAAACGTCTTGGAAAGGCCCTTTATGATTTCCAGAAGTCCACCACAAAACTGGAGGATGGCAAACCTGTTAAAGGTAGGAATGGAAGGCTGACTGTTGAAAACTGCAATAGAAAAACTTAAGAAATATTATGGAAAAGCTGTCCGCAACAATGTCAATAGGGGCATCTCAACAACTGAAGAACGAGACAGAGCTGTGGCAAACATGAGAATAGAAATAAAGGCTGGCCTTTATCACTGTTTAAAGCTGCCATTAAAGGAAAGACATCAGTACTGCCCATCAAACTCTTGGTGCAAGTATAAGAAAGGTTTACCATGTCCAGACAAACCTCATCATCTTGATCCAGTTTTTAAAAAATGTCTTGAACCAATCTATGACAGACTGTGTGACCCTGCCCTCCTTGCAAGATGTTTGCCTGGCTACACACAGAATTCAACTGAATCTATAAATGCTTTGGTGTGGAATAAGTGCCCCAAGAGTAAATGGCATGGAAGAAAAAGAGTTCTGATGGCAACATGTTCTGCTAGTTTACACTTCAGCAGTGGTGCCTCCGTGAAGAACCAGGTCATGTTGAAGGCTGGACTGAATGTGGGGGACCATACAAGGAAAGAATTTAAGAGGAGAGATTCTAAAAGAGTAAAACAGGCTGAGGCGAGAGTGGACAAACAGTACAAGAACTACAGAATCATGAGGAGGCAGGCAAAACAAAGGGATGAAGAGCTGAGGTCCAACCGGGAAGGTGTGACATATGAGGCGGGAGGCTTCAATGATCTTGGACTGAACGAAAGAAAAACATGCGTGCTGTCCTCGCGCGCGCTTTCGTTTTCACGCGCAGCTTCAAAACTCTAGCTCGTTTGATACTTTTTAGCGCCCGTTAAAGTGTAACGCAAAATGAGAAATACATATTTTGCACGTCTTACTTGTCTAGGTGCAGCAGTTAAATTCATTCTGTCGAATGTTTGTTCAAAAAAAAGGTTTCTTCCTATTAAGTTGGTTATTTACAAATCTTGACGGTGGATCGCGAGGAGGAAAAAAGATGGCTATAGCTGGATTTAAAACCTGTTTTCAAGAAATTCTGCCTTGTAAATAACTCTTAATAACCGAGTTTGAGGTCGGTACTGTAAGTCAAGGACCGATATTTTGTCGCTCGGATTTATGGTCCATGCGCGAACAGAGTAAAATGAGGCTCCGTGACTTCAGTTCAGACTGAGAAAACGAGGCTAGTAAAATATTTCTCATATCTTTCGGTTTAAGATTACAATTTAAACAAAATTTTGTATTTAGTGGGCTGTACAGTGAAATATGGCCCGCTTAGTTGACCGATCACAGCGCACGTTCTAACTTAGAGATATAATAAAGTTGATTATAGCCAGCATGTTATTAAAAATATGTAAACTTGACTTTGTAAACGAGGTTGATAACCGAAGTGTTAAAAACTACTTTTATACGAGAAAGCTTTCTTGACAATTTTCGTGAAGTTCTTAATTTGCTTTTCCCTGACAAGTTCATCCTTGTCGAGAAACTGCCATGCTATAAGATGGGGTTGACAATTTTCTCTCCAATCTGATGCAGCGCATAAATTTTTCCTAACTTGTGTAATCGCCCAGGTAACATTGCTCCATACGTGTAAAACCAGCTTTAATGTGAATCATAGGCTTCCTTCTAAATCCTTTTAAAACTGTTTTGAGGCAGTTAAAAACCGAGGGTTAATCTAAGGTGGCTTGCTCGTGCTTTGAGTGCTAGGATTACCATAGCAACCGTAAACTGCCTGCCTATCTTTGCATCCAGGAAAAATATGATTCAAAGCCTGTAGATTTGGAAAAATCGATCACAAGCCTCTAAGAAATAATTTCAGAGCTTTAATAGAAAACTGATTTGAAGCAGCGACATCGAGGAAAGTGCAAAAAGAAAGATAAAAAAAATGTGAAAAAAAAAATTCTTAACGAAACGTTTTTGCCTCTTAACACTTTACCACTCAAAAGTGATTAACATGTAACTTCTTGTAAGATCCATACATTAAGCGACAAATTAAACACGTAAAGAAAATATTCAAACTTGTCAGCTGAAATAAGATTTTATCTTGATCTCGCACCACAGTATACAAGGGAAGGTAAAGCAGCCAGAGAGGAGAATTAATAATCATATCTCAGGAGTTAACGGGTTAGGAAAACGTGTGTCACTTTAAAAAAAAAAAATTGAAAATATTCAATTTGTATGCTTATAAGTGAACTAAGTGGTTCTTAATTAATATTACAATGGCTAAGATGACGTTGTCCTCATGTATGAATGGGATTGAAAGATGATGATAAATTTGCAATTAGCGAGTTTCCTTCTTTCAAATGTTTTTCTCAACCATTTCAATATGACATGACTAAAGATTTAGATATATGAAAATTCACATATTTGCACTGCGGTGGAAAGATGAAATTAGAAGATCCTCGCAGCTAAGAACACTACTGAAACTAGTAGTTGTAAGTAGGACCTGAAAAAAAATTTCAGGCCCGTACGGGATTTGAACCCATGACCTCTGCACCGGTATCGCAGAGGTCATGGGTTCAAATCCCGTACGGGCCTGAAATTTTTTTTCAGGTCCTACTTACAACTACTAGTTTCAGTAGTGTTCTTAGCTGCGAGGATCTTCTAATTTCATGACATGACTAGTTCTTCCACAACGACTTTCCTTGTAAAGAGCAAGATTCTCTGGTGCAAATGACCTTCTAAGGATATTTTTTAAAGAAGATTAACTAAAAAGCCGGAAAATTCTGGGAGAATCATACATCAGCAGGTTGTCCTGGACAATTTTTCTGTTCTAATTTGTCTCTAACAAACACGTTTTCGTTTTTGTATAGCCATTTGCCTTTAGGACATTAGAAACATATTTCCTCTCCTCAGCCTTCGAATCGAGTGAAGATGGTAAACAGTAAGTCCTCCTGAGTGCTAAAGGATACAAGCTCATGGTCTGTACTGGTTTTTCTTTTCTTAAGCTACGTTTTCGTTTAAAACAGCGCTTTTTTTTATCAAATGCATTAAACACAGAGTTCTTTCAAGAGAGAAGTTGCCTTAGTCTTTTTTTCAGCGGATGCGCAATAAATTATCATGAAAAATTGAAGTCGTAAGCGGCACTGTTTCAATTCACGACTTTCATTGAGGCTATTGTGGAAAATCGTTTAAAAGCCTTCAAGAATAATTTTTATTATCTGACTCTTAGAGTGGTCTTCGTGATCAGTAATGACTTTTTCATTTGCGTCTTTTGTTTCACAAGTTTTTTGCAAAAGTTTTTCTCTAGGCGCTAATGGTCAACTTCTTACCTGAACCTGAGAGATACTTGTGATTTCAGGAAATCGCCTAATCTCGAATTTAGTTGTTATATGGGTATAATATTCTCGGAAGCTACAGAGGTTCTTAAAAAGAATCGCAATTTAAAGGTTCACTTTTATAAAAGACTCGCTAACATGCTTCTATATTTCTGAAAAAATTTACCAGTTGTTTTTTCAGTAAGTTTCCTTTCTTTTTTCAAACAATTTTGTATGTGTTAGAAAAATATGACGTGTTATACACAAAATTGTTTTGGATTTTTTTTGTCTACGGATTCACAGTTAAACATCACGAGAAATTGAAGAAGTAAAGCATTGTTTTAGTTCACGAAACTTATAAATTTTAAGGCGAAAAATTGTTTAAAAACCTAGAATTTTATTTTTCAAGAATAATTTTGCTCTAACTCTTAGAGTTATCTCCGTGATAGGTGATGACTCCTTTTCTGTATTTTGTTTCACGAGTTTTTAACAAAAGTTTTTTACTAAACGTTGATGATCAATTTCTTTCTTTAACCTGAGAGATACTTGTGATTTCCAAAAATCGCTTAATCTTGAATTCTGTAGTTATATAGGTGTAATATTCTCGGAAGCTACAAAAGTTCTTAAAAGGAATCGCACTGTGAAGGTACACTTTTATTACAAACTTGCTAACATGTCTCTGTATTTTCTCGACAAATATGTAAGTTGTTTTTTCAGAAAGCTTTTTTTTAGACAACTTTTATTACTTGTTAAATGAAACACATCACGTGCTATACACAAAGAATTGGCTTTCATTTGATGTGGAAATTCGTGTCTAAGAGCTCCGTAGTTTTCATTTTTGCTTCCAGCTGAAAAATACTTCCGTCTTGAAACAGATAATGTTCGTGAACAAATAGCCGATTATTTATTTTTCAACAAAGGATGCTATTCGTTATTTATTTGGTTCCAGTCTCATTAAAAGCAGGCTGTTAAGGAGTTTTAATTTTATATTTCTTTGAAAAGTACGACAACCTTTTCACTGAACTATTTTTCAGAATAAGATGGATTTATATTTCACCTTTCTATGGCTCAACTGTGGAACAGCGTTTCTGCTAATCCCTCCAATTACTACAGCGAGCAACCAAATGGAAACACCACTGATCTTCATCAATAACATATTCATGGAGAACTTCAGCATAGAAAATCATACAATTCAGACTGAAAGCGTGCGGGACCCGTGGGAGTGTTTTCGTCACTGCGCCAAACACTGCGACTGCATTGCGTTTCAAGTCAGTGGAAAAATATGTGAGCTTCTGGACACGGACATTGATGGGGCCATCGGGAAGCGAGTGAAAAGACCAGGAACTGTTTTGTATCATGTGCAGCAAAACGGCATGAGGGTAAGTTTGAGTTCTTGTAGAGTAGTTTTCGAATAAGATTCGTAAACAAACTGTGAACAATAGGATCAGCTGAAACAGGAGCCAGCAAGGACTTTAAGTATCTACACGAATACTGTCTCCAAAGCTGGAAAACGTAAATGATCAAGTCAAAATTGGTTGAAAAGCCATTGATCATGATTTTTGGTGGGGACGACTCGCTTCGAAAAATTCGCCTCATATGAAATGAAGAGTTTCTTTGAAAATATTTTCTGTCGCAATACTCATTTCTTTAAAAGACAAAGAAAAGAACAATGACCTCTTATTCTATTCAGTGAAATTTTAATTTTCGTTTTTTTGTCGTTCGTGTTCGGTTTCAGGAAAATAGTAGATGCCTGAATGGCTGTTGTCGATCAAACCCTTGCCTTAATGGAGGCACATGCACAGAGAATTGCGATGACGTCAAAGAAAAATACAACTGCAAATGTCCACAGCATTACCAGGGAAAGAGATGCGAGATATTCCACCCAAGAGTCGATTCATGCCAATCTTACTTGAAGCTGAAACCAGAGTCGAAGTCAGGCGTGTATAAGCTTAATGACACGATTCAGAGTTATTGTGATTTTGACTCGGAACCCGGAAAAGTTTGGACTCTCATCGAGTCATTCTCTCTAGAAAATAAGGCCTTTTACAAACGAAAACCTTTTTATTTCAACGTTCCGCGAAACGAAACAAGATTCAACTGGAATGATTATCGAGTATCTTACCAAGCAATGGTCAACATCCGGGACAACTCGACCCACTGGCGCGTGACATGCAATTTCCTGTCAGGCCTTAATTTCACCGACTACGCACGAACGACTCTCCAAGATACGGACATCCTAACGTTTGTCAACCAAGATAGCTGTCAGAAGTACGAGTACATTTCAGTTCGAGGAAGAAGTTGTACGGATTGCTCGGGGATGCTTGTGCAGCGTGATAACGAACATATGCATACTGATTCATACTGGAGCAGAAGAAACGGTTGTTCTTGGGATCCAAGTACAGGTGCCCTGATGGACGAAGATAATTTTGGATTTTATGACATTACCAATCCTCAACATAAGTGCACTGAAAATTCTTCTTCCACCACGCAATGGTGGCTTGGTGCTGAGTTCTAAATCTGAGCCCACGCCACGATGGTTATATAGACGTGCGTCAAGAGGACGAAAAACAACGCAGCGGTCAAACGTTTGGCATGCGTAATTGGATTAACTCTGGCCAGTCCTATGGCACTTTCTTTTTAACATTTAAATAAAACTTTTAAAACAACTAATGTCACTTTTATCCTCCCCCCTCCAAAAAAAAGGCATGAATTTTTGTAGACATTGACGTTGAATCTTGTGGTTTTTTTTAACTTCTGTGAGACAACCTAGCTCTGAAAGCTTTCAGGCACGATATCTAGCCAACAAATCGGACTGACCGTAAACTACTCACTTAGTGACTTCTGATGGTGACTTCTGCTCATGTTGTTGATTCGAGTCCCTGCGACCGACAATTTAAATGACTAAAGGGGTTAAGTTTCTAAAGAAACTGCGGTGCTACGTCGGTGGGAGAGTATAGCAAGTAATTTAGTGTTAACAACTTAGTTGAAAACGTAAATTGGCCACCGTAAAGAGTTAAAAGGCTGACGCTTACGATGATTGCTCTCGCTCCCATCTTAGCCTGTAGAAACGTAACTGACTATAGCCGATAAAATTTCTTTGTAGGATTACTCTCACGTGAACGATCAGACCAAACGATCAAAACTTTTCCTTCTGAAAAACAGCAAAGTTGAATGCCTCATTTGTGGCAACCAAGAGTAGAAAATATTGTACATTTTCGTTTATTTGTCCAAATAAAAAAAGATATGAAATATGCGTCCTAGTGGTAAAGAAGGAAAGGAAAACAAATCATTCGCTTGTGAGGATACGTGGTACAGTCCTTCCTAATTTTGGAAACTGAGCTGAACAGTATTTTGGCTTTGAAGTTCGCTTTATTCAAACAAGAGATGACTTAAATTAGCGTTTTCACCTGTTTTATTTAAAACAGTTGCTTAAATATTAGCCTCAAGATAAGTAGCGGAAATTAATTCAGGTCACTCTGTTCGTAGGTCAGTAACAAAGTATGCTAATCGTGCGCTAAAATTTACCACGAAACTGAAATACTAGGAAAAAATAATCAGAATATTTTAGCAAACAAACAAGATACCTCGAGTTTCACTGTATTCTCTACATTCTTAAGTAAAGCGTCGTTTGATTACAAGGAAGATGTCGTTATCGCATAAGTCGGAAGAAGAGCACAAATCGCCCAGCGATGAAGCCCTGGAGGAAGTAAACCAACACGTTAGAGAGGCTTTTAATATTCTGAAGCGAGAGACGAATAAAGTTCGCAAAGAGAAGGAGGCTTTTGACGAGGTGGCGAAGAAACTTGAGCACATCCACTTCTCAAAGATGCTGAAACTTAATGTCGGCGGCCACCGTTTCGATACCAGTTTGGAGACTATGAACAAAGATCCAGGTACTTCTTTTAAAATTAACAGACGTTTTAACGAAGTCAGTCCAGTTGGTCCTTCAATGGAAATATCATGGTATAACATCTAATGATATAAAATTATGCACTTGAACTACTTTCACTTTCGGCGGTTTGATAGAGGAACCTAAATCACAAACTACAAGTTTTGCCCCATAGAGAAAAGGCTCTGTTTGTGGACAAAATAGTTTCTGACGCTTTTTCATATATTTTTATTTAGTCTAGTATTTATAAACTTTGCTTTTGAGTAGAAATGTACTCGACTGTGAAAATATTTGTAAGCTAGTTCTGGGAAAAGATTTCACTCCAACTTTCTTGTGAAAACTCCTCGTAAAGGGCAGCTATAAACACTAATGTATGTTTTTACTCCCAGGGTCGATGCTGCACGCCATGTTTTCTGGAAGATTTGACACAAAACCTGGCGAGGATGGATCTTACTTTATCGATCGAGATGGAACACACTTCCGACATATCTTGAATTATCTTCGCACTGGAAAACTTATGCTACCGGATGACAAAATTGTGCGTAACGAATTACTAACCGAAGCCGAGTTTTACCAGATCGAAGGAATAATTGAAGATTTGAGAGCAAGGCCGTTCAACGCTTCTACGATCCTTTCATCAGAGCAACGACAACAACTGATCGACTTACTGAAGGAAACCATCGAAAGTGCAAGTGATGACTACGTTTTGTTATACCGCGCTTCCCAGAATGGTTGGACAGCTGCCAACTTTCACTCTTGCTGTGACGGCAAAGGACCCACAGTTACAGTAATCAAGAGTGGGAACTACGTGTTTGGAGGATACACTGAAGAAAAATGGGATCAACCTGGTAAGTCCTTATAACTCTAACGCACTTTTCACTAACTTTTGTTGTAGTCTTTTGTTTTCTTCAAATAAAAAGTTGAGTTTCGAATTGCGTGACGTCCGTATGCTGGGAAGACGGAAGTAGGCTCATGATCCCTCGCTTCGTTTAACTCGTGACCATTCCTCTATGAAAAAGGCTCATTACTGCCAATTAACCCCTCAGAAGTACTTTGACATAAAAATTAAATATTAATAATAATAATAAGAATAAAAAGTGTTTTCATCGAACAAAAAGTTGAGTTTCGAATTGCGTGACATCTGCATATTGGAAAGACAGAGGTAAGCCCAAAATTTCCCTCGCTATTCTAACTTGTGACCATTCTCCAATGAAAAGTCTCATTCCTCCCAAAATTAAACTAGCCGCAAAAATTATTTGATATAAATTTTGCCCGTCACGCAGAATCTGTTGTCATGGTTTGAATTATTTTTAGACAAAGGCACCATTGTTTGTTATCCTAAGAGACTTTACCTTCGGGTAGTTTATACCGCGCGCGGCAAGTTTAGAGTTCAGGAGAAAATGTTTGTATGAGGCAACGTTTCCGTTGGGACAGTTTCGAGGCCGAAGAGATTTGAAGAGAAAATGACGTGTGCAGTAAGGAAGGGGGGGAGGAGGGGGTAGGGGTTTTAAAGGTGATTGTTGACATTAACTTAAATGCCGCGCTGACTTTGCCGTTTAGGTTGTTACGACCGATTTATTTTTCGTTTACACCAACTTGTTCGGTTGATGGTTGAATAATAGAAAAAGCATTCTAAAAGCTAAGTTTTTTCGTTTTTCTCACGATGTAATCACGTGTGATGTAGATCGCGACGTTTTCACAGCATACTTTTAGTCTTCTTCAGGCGATGAGGTCGACTAGTCATGCGTGATCTTATAAGCCTGATGCTCTGCTGAAATTAGCTGTTTTTTAACAGCTCTGATTGGTGCATTTCAATCCTTTTTCCATTTTCCAATCAGAGCTGTTGAAAAACAACCAATCACAGCAGAGCATCATGCTCATAAGATCACGCATGACCAGTCGACCTCATCGCCTGAAGAAGCAGTATGCAGTCGAAATGTCGCGATCTACATCACACGTGACTACATCGTGACTGCGCAGAGAAAATGTAAGACTGTTAGAAAAAATCCCTCCGAAAATGTCAATGCATAAGAAGAGTTTTATACTCATATAAAGGAACTTTTACTCACTCTTCTCTAAGAGCCTCTCGGACCGTTTTGGATAGGTAAATCACCTGGTCAATGTAGAGAACGTTTTATAATCCGAGACTTTTGTTGTTTTTGTTGTTCAGCTGGAGGAGCCAATTACAAAAAAGCTCCTGAGTCTTTCCTGTTCAGCCTTGTCAACCCAAACAGTTTACCCCCTTCAAAGCTACCACTGATAACTGGAAAAGAGGAGAAGGCAATCCACTGTCACAATGGGTATGGGCCCACATTTGGAAGTGGCCATGACCTTCGTATTGTCAGTGCTCCAAATTCTAACAACTGCAGTGTCAGCCTGAATAACTCGTACCAGTGTCCTACCGGTCAGAATGCTGCAACATTTCTTCAAGGGAACCAGAATTTCACCATTAGTGAAATGGAAGTTTTTGGCTTTGAGAAGCAGTGAAAATGCTTTGATATAATTCTGCAATTGGGGCGATCGGTACTGCTTTCCAGAAAATTGTGTCTTTTTCATGTTTTTCTTATAATTACATTGATAAAATGGTCGATCGGTTTGTCATTTTAGAATAGGATTCAGTTGTTACCGAGACTCGAGGACAGAATTCTTAAAATAAACTTCTGTGAAACTTGCTAGAGTGTGCTGATTCTGTCTCGAGATCTCTAGGAAATACATACTGGATGGAAAAGCATTTGCAAAGAAGACTGCTCGCAAATGTACTAATAAAGGGTAAGAGTCACTTAAGGTGTTTCGACAGGAACCGTGGGGGCAGGCAGGGGCAGTTTGTTTCATCATGGTTGTATTGGGGAGGGGGGAGGGTGAGTAAGGTTTTTTAACTGGCTTCTCATTAAAATTTATGGGGTTGCCAAATTTTTTAAAACTATCTTAGGTCAATACTCTTTAGAGCTTAAAGGAAGGTCGTGTTTTGTACTTATGCGAGGTCATATTAAAAAAAAAAAAAAAAAAAAAAAAAGGAACCGTCATTTCCATCTAAATTTCTTTTCCCCTTAAAATTAAGCGTTGCTCCAGTCGTCTTGGTTCTGTAATGAGATGAGAAGTAGTGTTATATGTAATCCTCAGTCACCTGCTGGAGTGGAAAATTCGAATTTCAAGCATAACAAGTTCTCTACACCGAGAAAGAGAGGCTAAGAAATCGCACCTTGGACCGATGCATACTCTATAATCAAAGCCCCGGCCATTCGAAGGCCGGAGGGCGAAAAATTCTATCTAAAGGATAAATCGCTATCCAGCGGACAAGAGTTAAAAAAGAAATGCTGCATTATCCAACAGATAGAGATTTATGCAGAAGATAGCGTTATCCACCTTTTGAGTAAGTTTTGTGGCTTATTATTTTAAGAAATTTTTTTCTGCGGATACTTACTTTTGTCGATCCAGGAAAATCAGAGAACTATCAAAACCATAACATTTTCATACATCCTTTCTATCTTTTGTAAAGTTCTATACTATTTTCATTCATCTCCTCGTCTGGCATTAATTTTAAATGTTATTTTCTCCTCTTTGCATTTGATTGAATTTAGCGATTTCATTCTAATAGCGGGTTTCTTGCAAAGTCAGTGGTGTTCAGCTAAATGGTGTAAATATAGAATCACAGTTATTGATGATTAACGTTTTCCAATATCTAATTAATTTTCATGCATGGCGTGACGACTTGACATTTATGCATGATTAAATTGATTCACCCATAAATTTCCGAGAAATCAACATACCGAGGATCAAAGCAGCACGGAAATTCTCAGATTAGACGAATTATCTCGGACTTCTCTTTTTGATTTCGATTCCTGTCCTTTTGTACAACCCACTTGAATTAAGATGTCTTCGAAGCGTATCCCAAAGAAAGATTTACCCGACGATGAAGCCTTAGACGAAGTAAATAAACACATCAAAGACGCTTTCGACATTCTGAAGCGTGAGACGAACAAGCTTCGCAAGGAAAGAAATGCGTTTGACGAGGTGGCAAAGAAGCTCGAGCATGTTCATTTCTCGACCATGCTGAAACTCAACGTCGGAGGCCATTTTTTCTCCACAAGTTTGGCGACTATGACTAAAGATCCAGGTACTTTGAAGCAAGTTTTGAATTTTGAACTAAGGACTGAGATCTAGCTGTTTGATATACTGAACAAAGTTCGCTTCCATTCAATTGTTTATCCATTAATTCAAATCCTGATTGCGTTCGTAGCTGTTTTATTAGTTGAGAAAAACAATTCTTACGTTTTGAAGGCTGACTTCTGCTATTAAAAGAGCTTACACCTGCGTCTCTACACTTTTCTTAAAACGAACAGGCACGTGGAACGCAATCTTAAATAATCCGCCATTATTTTCGGTAATTAATTGAATACATCACGCTAAAAGGCATTTTTGATATGGTTGAATGCTTTGTGATGTTCGATGCCACCCGCCATCGAATTTGGCCAAATTGGGTAAATGAAGTTGATTCTTTTTGAAAAAATAGGATTTAGTTATTAAAAGGGTTTTGTTCATCTTGTTTTCACAGGTTCCATGTTACATGCCATGTTTTCAGGCAGATTTGACACAAAACCTGGCGAGGATGGATCTTACTTCATCGATCGAGATGGAACACACTTCCGACATATCTTAAATTATCTTCGCACTGGGAAACTCGTCTTACCGGACGATAAAGTCGTTCGCAAGGAGTTGTTAAGCGAGGCAGAATTCTATCAAATCGATGGGATACTCGATGAGTTGAAAGCAAATCCGTTTAAAGATTCTGCAATTCTCTCTTCAGAACAGCGCGAAACCTTGGTGGACTGGTTGAAGCACACTCGCGAAAGCTTAGGCGACGATTACGTGTTGTTATACCGAGCTTCTCGCGATGGATGGAGCGCCTCTAACTTCCACTCCTGTTGTGATAACAAAGGACCAACAGTTACAGTGATAAAGAGCGGAAATTACATATTTGGAGGATATACTGAGCAGCCATGGCAATCATCAAGTAAGAGGCCTTTCTGTCAGCCCCGCTGAATCAAACTGCATTACTCCCCTCCCCCACCCCCCTTATGATAAAATATCCCATCCTAATATTTTGCTCTCAAATTTGCTGTTTGCTTTCCATTTACAAGTTAATTACAGAAGCAAGAAGTCTTATGCTTGTGAATTTCTATCTTTTTCTTTTTTTCATTTTGGGGAAATGTAATGATGATTTTGCCAAAATACCAAAAAAACTTAAATCGATCAGAAAGTGATACCTTTACAATCGATCTAGTTCTACAAAAAACTCCCAAATGAGAGCTTCCTGGCATACAGCCCAAACTTCATCTTAAGAACCTTTTAGTTCCCCCTCCTTTCTTGTACGGTGAGTCAGCTTGCTTACATCTCTGAGTGATAAACCCTTTTGACTGACAGTTCAATGAAAATGTCAGGTTTTGTAGGACTCCCTAATACCATGAAAAATGCATTGATGTCTTTGCTGCTGTTGTAGCTGCATTTTTATTTTGTTTTTATGTTTGTTTGTTTTTTTTTTGTTTTTTTGGTTTTCTTCGTTAACTTTGTTTTGTTTTGTCGTTTTTTGTGTGTGGGTTTTTTTTCGTTTGAGAGGGACTTCGATCTCATGACAGGGTTGTTGTTGTTTTTTTTTTTTTGGTATATTTTAAATTAGCTGTTACCATTGCATAGTCAAACCAGTCTTCGATAAGAAAAATCTTTCTAGAGCTGAACACTAAGTCTCCTTTATTTTAAGGAAGTGAACTTCTATCTCATCTCAGAGTAAGGTAAGGGCAGTGTGATTTTTTAGAGGTCGTGATGCACTGAAATGAAAATGATAGCTCAAGCTACAACCACAGGCGTTAATTATTGCTGTGGCAATTTCTTGTCCTGGTTTTGTCCCTATTTGCTACCGAAAATTGTTATACAACCAATCTAACTCAGTAAATATCTTTTATCAGATACTGCACCGTACAAAAGAGCACCAGGTTCTTTCCTGTTCAGCCTTGTCAATGCCAGTGGCTTGCCACCAGCAAAGATGCCTTTGATAGATGGTAAGGAAGGAAATGCCATCTACTGCCACAATAACTGTGGTCCAGTATTTGGAGCTGGACATGATCTTTGCGTTCCAAATTGTCCAAATTCCCACAACTGCTCCGTTAACCTTGGAAATACATACCAGTGCCCAGCAGGTCAGAATGGTAACCTTTTCTTAACAGGAAGTCAAAACTTTGTTGTGAATGAAATGGAAGTTTTTGTGTTCGAAAATTAAAGGCATCGATATCGTTGTCATTTTTCTCTTCCTGATGAGACTACAACAGATATTGTAAACATCAGCTGGTGACTAATTTCCTCTTAGTCAAGTTGTTGTTAGTGAATTTTTTTTTTACTAGATTAGAGAAAGTAAGAGGCTTTCATAACCTTTTCTTTGAACTGATCTAGCTTGTGAATGATGGTTTCTTGCTTTTGATTTTCAAGAATTGTTTGCCAGTCGTTTAAGTGTGTTGTTGTTACTTGAACAAGATCGAGTTATTAAAACAAATGTTTGCGAAGACTGTTTCTGCGCTGGATTGACAAACATAATCAAAACTATAACAAAATTCTCGAAAATGATTGGTTATCACCAGCCCGATTTGAGCACTAATAGGACAGTGAACGCGCCATGCTTGTAATTGGACAGTGTAACAGGACAAATTAACCTCATGTGCGTCCGCTGCTGCGCGCATTTCGCCAAATTAAAAATTCAACTGGGCCCTGTTGTTGTTGTTGTTGTTTTTTTTTTTGGTTAATGAAAGTTTATAACCTATCAAACTCAAATTTTGTCATAGTTTTGATTGACCAATCGGACTCCCTCTTCGCGTTCATCCACCCAGTCAGTTGGACTCCACTCAGTTCTATTACCATTATAAATCGAATGCAGGTTGTATATATATAAAATACGATAAAAGCGCAAAAGATGCCTAACATCCATGACACTAGGAAGGGCACAAATATGTTAACAGTCCAGCAAGTGTTAGGCGTTCAATCTGTAAAACAAAGCCCGGATCAATATCAGTATCTAGGCATCTGCCCACCTACCCCTCCCCTTACTCAACAACAGTCAATTGACAACAAGTTAGGGTTAATGTTGGGTTAGGGGAGGGGTAGGTGGGCAGTTCCCCAGATACTGATATTGATCCCAAAGCCCTTTAATAAACATCGGTGAGCTAAAGTCAGGGCAGTGCGGGAATTTATGAGCATGGTTAGGATGTTTCCTAGTGATAAATTTTCAACTTATTCCAAGGGAGAGGAATCAGTCAAACCTAAATTTGGTCTTACATAATGAAAATGCTGCTATCTGCTATCACAAGTAGGAGACATAAAAAAGAAGATCGTGAAAACCTGAAATTTATTTCGCAGAATATATTTTTTGTAAGTTTCTAAAGGTCGCTTTTACTACCTTGATGTGAAAACATCAAAGTTTGTAAAGGAGCAGATTATCCCGAAATAGCCAAATAGATTTTGAAACTGTGTAGCTTCATCAAAATATAAAGAGAAGAAAACGTCCTCGTAGGCATCTATCCTGAGTTATGACCTGTTCATCAGACAAAAATGATATTTATTTGAACTTAGCAGCATTCTTGTAGAGGCCTTATCTCACCTGGAAACGTTGATTTATTGCCTAGAGCACTGTTTTTTAAGATATCTTCTCGGCAAAGGTACCTTCAGTTCTGACAAAGGGCTAACGTTCGAAACATCGGCTATTGAAATTCATCACAATTTGCATTATCAACTCAGAGCTGGGTTTGGTTTAACCGTTCTGTCTTGAAGACACCATTAATAGCGTAGCTCTATTTCCTGCATATAAACACACACAGACAATTCACAGTTCCTCCAATCGCTCTAACTGAGGGCTAACGCTCGAGACGTCAGCTTTAAAATCTTTAGGGTGGCCAATTTACGCTATCAACTCAGTTGATAATATTAACTGGATCACCCTGCTATACTCTTCCACCGACGCAGCACCACAGTTTCTTTAGGACTGAATCCCCTATTCACTTGTCTTCTAGACATTGACCCACGACTAATCAGCTTGGCCAAGCGCTTAATATAAGCTACAAGAAGCCGGCTCCGAGGAGGCATTCATTGTTTTTTTAATTAAAAAATTTATGCAATTTTTTTTTCAGCGGATACTTACTTTTGTCAATCCAATAAAATTAGAAAACTACAAGACAAATTTTCATGCTTAGAGTAATGCATCGTTTCTATCTCTTGTACAATTCTTCGTCAATTTTAGTGCTTTCCTCGTCATGCCCTACCTTAAGGAGGCTCCGTGGGATTTTGTGACCGCGCGAGATCTGGGTGGGAACATAGCACAAGCTTAAAAAGTGTGAACATGCAAAACGGCGGCTCGATAAGATCGCACGATTGTTATCTGAAAAAGTGTGTTGAAAACAGTTTAACACAATACATTTTTTTATGTGATGGAATCTAGGGTTTCCGGTAACTGCATCCGCAATATTCATAAGCTTTGTGCGCCTGAAAAAGAGATCAACCGAAAAGGAAATACCGTGGGAAAGATTGCCAAAGGGCGACAGATTCGAAAGTCTACGCAAGCTTAGATACCGATCTTGGCGAAGTTTCATTCCATTACGTAATGTTTTAAGACAAAGGAAATAGCTGTCTTTCAAGTGAGATTCATCGCGTTTCCTTCGATGGAATTTCCTAAGGTTTGCTGGACCTTTAACCATATTTTTGCCCTTTCTGGTACCTGTTAATAAAAAAATACGACCAAGTTATAAAATTTCAAAATAGCGAGGAAACTACCCTTTTAAACCTATTTTTTCTCGGCTTTTAAATGATGGGCAGGACAATATTTACAAATTATAAAAATTTTGAAAGATTTCATAGAAACAAATTAAAGAAAGTCAAAGACAAAGCCAAATTATTGATGGCGAGCGCCTCCCTTCGTGGAGTCTTAGCTTATTGATGAAAATCATTTCGATGATATTTACTACAGCAAGCGAAAGTCCGAACTTTGCTCATAGCCTTTAAATGGCTTTTAGTGACCTTGAAAAGCGAAAACATAAACATTTTTTAGAAAAGTCGTTGCACTGACGCGCACGCCAACATTTTTAAAAACCCTTTGGAGTATCCTTATCTGTTATTGTCTCCTCTGTACATTTTGTTTGATTTTATCTGTTTCATTCTAATATTGGGTTTCTTGCATAGTCAGTAGTGTTCAGCTTAAAATTGTGTAAATATTGAAACACAGTTATTGCTAATTTACGTTTTCCAAGGAATTAATACATGATGAAATTGATACACCATAAATTTCCAAGAAATCGAATTCTGAGAATAGAAAAAATATCTCGGGCTTCTCGGAAAAAAAAAAAAAAAAAAAGATTTCGGTACCTGTCCTTTTGTTTGACTCACTTGGATTAAGATGTCGTCGAAGCGTAACTCAGAGAAAGATTTACCCGGCTTTGAAGCCTTAGACGAAGTAAATAAACACATCAAAGACGCTTTCGACATTCTGAAGCGTGAGACGAACAAGCTTAGCAAGGAAAGAAATGCGTTTGACGAGGTGGCAAAGAAGCTCGAGAATGTTCATTTCTCGACCATGCTGAAACTCAACGTCGGAGGCCATTTTTTCTCCACAAGTTTGGCGACTATGACTAAAGATCCAGGTACTTTGAAGCAAGTTTTGAATTTTGAACTAAGGATTGAGATCTAGCTGGTTGATACACTGTACAAAGTTCGCCTCCACTCAATTGTTTATCCATAAATTCAAATCCTACTTGCGTCCGCAGCTGTTTTAGTAGTTGAGAGAATTCGATTTTAAAGTCCATTGTTCGGAACGGTACTTCCGTTTTGCATGCCGATTTCTGAGCTTTTACCTGCGTCTTTACGCTTGTTTAAAAACGGACAGGCATGTGAAACGCAATCCTAAATAATCCGCCATTACTTCTAGTTAACTCACTACATCACCATGAAAACAATTTTGATATGGCTGATTATAGTTTGCCATGTGATGTACGATGTCACCCGCCAAACTGGGTAAATGAAGTTGATTATATTTAAAAAAAAGGATTTAAGTATTAAAAGGAGGTTTTTTCATCTTGTTTTCACAGGTTCCATGTTGCATGCCATGTTTTCAGGCAGATTTGACACAAAACCTGGCGAGGATGGATCTTACTTCATCGACCGAGACGGAACACACTTCCGATATATCTTAAATTACCTTCGCACTGGGAAACTTGTCTTACCGGACGATAAAGTCGTTCGCAAGGAGTTGTTGAACGAGGCAGAATTCTATCAAATCGATGGGATACTCGATGAGTTGAAAGCAAATCCGTTTAAAGATTCTGCAATTCTCTCCTCAGAACAGCGTGAAATCCTGGTAGATTGGTTGAAGGACACACGCGAAAGCTTAGGCGACGATTACGTGTTGTTATACCGAGCTTCTCGCAATGGATGGGCCGCCACTAACTTCCACTCCTGTTGTGATAACAAAGGTCCAACAGTTACAGTGATCAAGTATGGAAACTACATATTTGGAGGATATACTGAGCAGTCATGGCAATCGTCAAGTAAGAGACCTTTCTGTCAGCCCCATTGAATCAAACTCCTTTACTCCCCCCCCCCTCTCCCCCTTATGATAAAATACCCCATCCTAATATTTTGCTCTCAAATTTGCTGTTTACTTTCCATTTACAGGCTAATTACAGAAGCGAGAAGTCTTTTGCTTGGGAACTTCTATCCTTTTTCTTCATTTCTTTTCGGGAAAATGTAATGATGATTCTGCCAAAATGTCAAAAAAACTTAAATCGATCAGATAGTGATTATTTTACAATCGATCTAGCGCTACAAAAAACTCCCAAATGAGAGCTTCCTGGCATACAGCGCAAACCTAATCTTAAGAACCTTCTTAGTTAGCTTTCTGCTTTCACAACTTCATTAAAAACTAATGGAAGATTCAGCCAACCGCCCCCCTGCCCCCTCCTTTCTTGTAGGGTGAGTCAGCTTGCTCACATTTCTTAGGGATAAACCCTTTTGACTGACAGTTCAATGAAATATCAGGTTTTATAGGACTCCCTAATACCATGAATAATGCATTGATGTTTTTGCTGTTGTTGTAGCTATATTTTTACTTTGTTTTTTTGGTTGTTTTGTTCTGTCTTGTTTTGTTTTTGTTTTGTTTTGTTTATTTTGTTTTTATTTTCGTTTCAGAGGGACTTCTATCTTATGACAGGGTTGTTGTTTTTTTTTTGTATATTTTCAGCTAGGTGT